TAACTATCATGTGAAATAAGAAGCTAAGCTGTTAACATTAAATATGGAAATAAAACAAGCTTGCACCATTTGAAGAAAGAAATATTGGGAGGAGAGAGCAACAGGAAAGTCAATTTGAATGATAGAAAATCAGTGGTTTATGGAAATGTGCAGATCGTTTGCATGTTATTTGAAAATGTTTTTACATCTGCTCATGCAGTGTTTGCATTGCATTATTATAGCTAATAGGGTTGGCTTTTCTAAGCTAACATTTAGCTTTCCAATTAGATGTAAAGACAAATAATGTTTTGGACGGAATGAACTAAAGGTTTATAATTGTATTTAATCAGTATAATGACTAAAGTGTTTAGCAATAGGTTGTATTGGACTTCAATGTCCTACAAAAACAGAAACTGCTCTTAAGAAAACATCAGCCCTAATAAAGTAAACAAAGAGTTTCGAGCCCATTATTATATAGGCTTCTGCAGGACAGAACAGACATTAAAATTGTTTTTTTATTGTCCTTCATAAGCCAGGCCTGCTTTTCAGTCTCTCTGCAGCTTTTTCATTTTCTTCTCCTCATTCTTTCTGCATTTCCCCCGTGGCTCTGGATTCCTGTGACCTTCATTAATCCTGCTCTTTTGTTGCTCTCTGCCTTTCATCCTTTTTTCGTCACGTCTTTTCCTTATCTTCTGTCATTGCTGTGTATTAAATTTCCATTTTTCCTTTCTCTCGTTTTCTCAACAGAGCAACCCACTATCAACTTCCCATCTAAGAGGTCAGTTCTGCCAGCCAGTCAGAGTTGAGGCCATGGCAGTGAAGGACCGTGTAGAGGCGGTGCTCAACGTGGGTCTGCGTGTTCCCAGCATCATGCTGCTTGACGTCCTGTATCGTTGGGATGTGAGCTCCTTCTTCCAGAAGATCCAGCGCAGCAGCCTTTCCAACAATCCTCTGTTTCAATACAAATACCTGGCTCTCTACCTGCACTACGTGGGTCAGTACTACTGTTACACACAACCACATATTGTCTTTTTTGTTTTCTACTAGGCTAACAATTAACCATATATACTGTTAACTATTTTTGATCTAAAAACATGAGAAGAAAGTTTTGTTCCTTTTCATTATTTCATGAAATTTGTTTCTGTGCTCAAAAACAACAGTGAGTTATGGGTCACTCTCTCTTTAAAAAGGCTAGCTTTTATTTTTAGTTAAAGTTACTGAATCTTGGTGATCATATTATACACAAGGACAAGACTTGTTGCATTTTTAGGAATACCAGAGTGTTAAGTGATCATTGGACATAGAAGATGTTCTATAGGTGCTCATTGCCATAAATTGCCCTTTTTGACTATTTCAATTTCTAATATTTATAAAACAAAATGAGGGGAAAGTCATTTGAATTTTTCTTACCTATGAAAGCCGATCAAAATCCCGACCAGTTGCAGCATTTTTTTGTCTGACGAGGTGAAGGGATGAAGTTATGTTTCTACGATGAGTCGAGAACACGCAGTGAGAACCCAAACGCATGACCCTATAATAAAATGAAGTCTTTTTGTTCTTACAGCTGTGGGAGTCAGAGAAAACAAATTCCCACTTCTAATGGAGGATGTAGCGGCCTTCAGTTTTTGATAGTTAAAAGAAAAATGAACTGGCAACATCTGAGCTCATGTCAGAATAAACAGTTTAATTATAACCAATTAAAAAGCAGCAGGACAAGAATCACGTATGCGTTTATGAGCTCTAGGTTTGAACTCTGTTAGAGGGTTTTTTTTGTTCATACAAGGTCTGGTTCATTCTTTTCATCCCAAAAATTGCACAGACCTCCTGAGAGCGTTATTCCTCTGTGGTCTCACAGCTAAAACCTTCTCTCAATTCAACTTGTGCACGACAGAAATGCCTATACCCATAATTCTTAGAGATTTTGCTTCTTGATCATTGCTCTTCTTCAAAAAATTTTTTTTTTAATGTTCTTGAAAGGCATACAAAGGCAAACAGCTGGTGAAATGTCTGATGAATCGGGATAGTGGTTTCCCTCTAAAGCAGATCTTTTTCTATTTTTCTTCCCTTCTTATCAAATGAAAATGGAACTGATTGATTTTCACTTTAGAGTTTAAACATAACATTTTAAAACGAAACAAAAGCAGATCAAGCTTATTCTCTCAGTAAAGAGCTAAAAAGCATGAATCTTCTTGTTTTTTTTTTTTCAAGCTTGGCTGCAGTTTGCTGATGAGTCAGTTAGCTTGGTATGTGCTGAGGAGCTGCGACTGGACCTGCTGAATAAAGTGGGAGCAGGGCAGTAAAACCTAACTGTTTGTTAATGTGGAGGGGAGATTTGCTGTAGGCTGATTATGTTGCTTATGTAGAGATTTTCCAAATGCCCATGCAGTTGCATAAAGTGTCGCTATTTTGACCTCATGGCGGAAAAAATGTAAATGCCGTTTTAGAAGTAGTGGTTTGAAAAGGTTCCCTTTCTTTATTGTGATTCATTTGTGTTTTTCTTGTGTGTTTAGGTTACATCCTGAGCCTGGTGCTGTTGACTCTGCCTCGTCAGCATCTGGTGAAACTCTACCTGTATGTTCTGACTGCCCTGCTGCTTTTTGCTGGTCACCAAGTCTCCAGGTATAAACACATGCAAACCAGCTTGTAAAAGCCTTTTATTATGTGGATGCACCAATCAAAGGTTTTATAGCTGTCATCTGTCCTCAGTGAGAGAAGAATAATATTTTTGAATAGGCTTTCTAACATTTCTCTCATGAGCTTTTACTCATTATGTATTTTATACTACCTGTAAAACAGTGCTTAGTATTA